ATTAAATCTGTCCTAGCTTTGCTTTTATTTTCATCAGAGGTGTCAGTAACAAAGTACAAATACTTTGTTACTGTACTTAAGTCGACTTTTTAGGTATCTATACTTCACTCCATTACTGATTTTTCTTCCTACTTCTGACTACTCATTAAATTTTCACACACAAGTACTTGTACTTTCTATTCCTTACATTTTTTTTTAAAAGTTACTCATTACTTTTCGGTTTAATGTTTATAAATATTAATTTTATTTGCTCCATCCAATGCAGATCATTGGCGCCATCCATGTCTAGTGAAAACTAGTGTAATTGGATAAGTCATAACGCAAACATTCATTGCTTGGCTATTCGTTAAATTTGTGCTGACGCCAAAGGAAATCATCGGAAGCAAGCATCCTTGGCCCTATCTCAAATAATTTTTTTGAAATAGTCGGAAAATTGAGCTTTAAATTCATATAGTGGCATCTGGCTGTTTTTTTTTAAAGGTTACTTTATACTTTTATAATTTAAAGAGTTTTTGGAGCATATACTTTTTCACGTTTACTTGAGTAAAGAGGTCAAGTTGATACTTCAACTTTTACCAGAGTGTTTTTAAACTGAAGTATCTATACTTCTACTTAAGTAACAAGTGTGTACTTTTGACACCACTGCTTTTAATCTGAGGATATTTTCATCTCAAATAAAGTCTGTTTCTGGAATATATCCAACCAATAGCTTATCATTCAGTTAAAAGTCTCAAAAATATATATTTTTAACCAGGTTTACAATATAACACTTGTGTGAATTATCATGTGTCTAGTCAAAAGATATTTTTGAGAAAACTTTTGCCACAAATCATGCAGGAAAAAGGCTTTTCACCCGTGTGAATTACTCATGTGAGTAGTCAAATAACTTTTTTCAGTAAAATTCATGTTACAAATTGTACAGGAAAGGGGCTTCTTACCTGTGTGAATTCTGATGTGTTTATCAAGATCAGATTTCTGGGTGAAGCTTTTTCCACAGGAAAGACATTCAAAAGGTTTCTCACCCGTATGAATTCTCATGTGAGTAGTCAAACTACTTTTTACAGTAAAATGTTTGTAACAAATGGTACAGGAAAAAGGTTTCTCACCTGTGTGAGTTCTGATGTGAGAAGTCAAACTACTTTTTACAGTAAAATTCTTGTTACAGATGGTGCAGGAAAAAGGCTTCTCACCTGTATGAATTCTTATGTGTTTATCAAGATCAGATTTCTGAGTGAAGCTTTCTCCACAGGACAGACATTCAAAAGGTTTCTCACCTGTGTGAATTCTCGTGTGTCTATCAAGATCACATTTTTGAGTGAAGCTTTTTCCACAGGTCAGACATTCGAAAGGCTTCTCACCTGTGTGAATTCTCATGTGAGAAGTCAAACTACTTTTTGCAGTAAAATTCTTGTTACAAATTGTACAGGAAAAAGGTTTCTCACCTGCGTGAATTCTCATGTGAGTAGTCAAACTGCTCTTTTCAGTAAAATTTTTGTTACAAATGGAACAGGAAAAAGGCTTCTCGCCTGTGTGATTTCTGATGTGTCTATCAAGACTAGATTTCCTTGTAAGGCTTTTTCCACAAGACGGACATTCATACATCTTCTGACCTGTTTGAGTTCTCAAATTAACGATTAAATGTTCTTTTTTTAGGAGGTTTTCTCCCCATGTCAAACATTGGAAAGGTTTCTCTTCTGTATCTGCAGGCTCTTTCTTCAGAACAAGCTGCTCTTCCTGCTCACTTATGGGGAACTCTATTGTTTCCTCTTTTGTCCAGGAATGTTCTGGTTCTTGCTGCTCTTCTTTTATCTGCAGAGCTTCTAGTTCCTCTTGGTCCAAACTGGAATTCCTCTCCTGTCCACAGAGCTGCTGGTCAGAGAAAGTCTCCACTTTCCCAACATAATTTTGAAGGCGGTCTGGAAAGGCACACACAGCAGAAAAGCAATGAGGTTATTAACTAAAATGGTAGATTTTCAAAAAATAAATAATGAATTCCTGAGGATTTGACTCAAAGTGGCATCTTTTCCAGAGACAGTGAGATGATAATCATTTTTGGCACATTTAAAACAAGCATGTTTAAAGAGAGTAAAACATAAACCTACTTAATATATTTAAATGTAGGTTGATAAAACAAAAAACATCCTAAATGTCAGAGAAAGGACTAAAATAGCACCTGAAAAAAGTTATAAATGGTTGACAATGCTTTCTAGTGGGACTGGGACATAAAAGGCGATTAGGAGTTTTCACCTGAGAACCCAAAAGACCCCCCCCAAGGCTTTAAGTAGACGGGGCGACTCAAAATTTTACTTTGAGGGACGGCAGCAGAATAGCTCATAAGACGTTCTGATTCTTAAGAGAGGTGATGAGGTCTTCAGAGATCCCCCTATTATGCCAGGTTGGGTTACAGCAGAATAGTAACAGGTTCACTGTTTATAGACTAGAGTAAAATTATCTGTGGATAAATAGACCAAATAGACCAGAAAAGTGGCCATTTTACCGTTGACCCAGTTACAGGAGGTTCGGTAAAGATGGGCAAGCTAAGGGTTCCAGGAATCTGCCTAAACCCCCCCAGTGAGAGAAAAGGGCCTGAAAGGTTTGCATGCAATAATTAGAAATTTTGATCCTTTATATTATAGCAATGTGTTTGTTTTCTGTTTGTCTTTTCTGTTGTCTGACTTTTTGTGGATTGTGAGATTGTCTGCTGTCCATTTGTGAAATGATAATTTAGCTATTGATAACTTAATTATTTACTCAATAGAGGTGAGTGAATAATTAAGGTTAAACTGTAAAATACGGATGAGGTTTCCGTAGCTCATTCTTTCCGCTAACCTGTTTTCAAAACAAAGCAGGAGTTAAATGTGTTAAAAGTTAATGCACAGCTGTTTGTTAGTGTTTGTCGTACTAAACGGGTTGATATGAGGTTCTGATATCAAAACAAATAAAGATTAATGAAACAGATTAAACAAATGAACAGATTTTGTTTGACAATAATTGGGCATTTCTTCAAGTAAAAGGAACTCATTTTTTAAATGCAAAAGTTGACTTGGTTTATCTTAATTTTTCAAGGTTTAGATTTAATTTTTAAAGGGTAAATAAATGTATATGTGTAGAGCAAAATAATTTATATAAAACTAAATTAGGATGATTGAATTTGCTTTTAAACTACTAACAATTCATTGAGAAGTAAAGCTGATCTGGAATAAATATGAAAATGTATATAACATAAGTAATTGTTAATAATTATACGGTGTTCCAATGACTCAATTTGAAATATTATTTAATAATAATAATAATAATAATAATAATAAAATAATAATAATAATGATAAAATTAATAATAATGATTAAAATGACAGGATATAGATAACAGAATTTAATTCCTACATTAAGATGAATGGTGGAGACTTTAAAATGATCTATTCTCAATGAATCCATAGCTCAGATATATCTTCTTCAACAGAACATGTGTTTATTGTTCTGATGAAGAAAAAGGGTGGAGCAGAATATAAACCAAGTGTTAAACAGCAAACCTAAACTCATATGGACTTATATGGTCCATGTGGAATTTGGGTTGATAATTGACAGCAGTATAAATAAACAACCTAAATAAAATACTAAATTATGACTAAACCAGTAAAGTGAATAAATAGGGGAATAAAATGGCCTTATAAAGGAAAATGATCTATTAAGCTAATTCTTAGCAGCAGAGGACAGAAAAAACTGCTAGACTTCTGGATGAAGTTTGAACACCTCAGCCTGACTCTCTGATGTGCGTTTGGGAAAAACCAGCTTTGTTGATGTTTGTTGATGGTTCAGATTCTTGCACCCCTGGTTCAGTATTTCTTCACCTCATGAAACTCTTGTTTCTGGTTCTTTGATTTTGCTTCGGTTTTGTTTTTTCCTGTTTATTTGATACATTTCATTTGTGCATGGAGTAATTGATATGTATCCA